CTTTCAATTGCAACCTCAAGGTGCCCATCCAAAAGTCTCCTTGTTATTGGGACTCTTTTTCCCCAAATCTCAAGAGTTGGAGAAGAAAAAAGGATATGGCCACTCAGATTGTTGGCCTAGGGAACATGCAGTGATTACTCACCAGCTTGGAAGAGGGCCGCTTTCCATTCTGAAAGGAAAGAGACACAGGTAAGAAAAGGTTAATGTTTGTATTCTTGCCCACCTGGTACTCCTCATTCAGTCCTTTCTCTCTGCTTTTCTTGAGAGACTCCTTCACTGTCCAGCTTCCCTTCTTCACAGCTATGATGGATCAGGGGTGGCAACTTCTAAAAAAAGTTGGGCTCTATTTCCTCTGTCATTAGGGGCTGTCAGCTGCATGGCCATGATTTGCTAGGTGGTGTGCATGAGTGCCAGCAGCCTCAGGCTTCATTTAGAAGCTTCCCCAAAGCAGACATGGAACCCCCACTGAAAATGAGCTTTTTACGTTAGATCTGATTATTCCAACGGATAATATCAATGGGTAATAGTAAACAAAGGAGTGAAATGCTCAGGGTGCATGTCCCAGAAAACTCAGAACATCAGTGCCACTTACCATCATAGGCTGGAGACTTTTTCCCAACTGCAAAGAAAAAAAGTCAGGCATGTCACTTGAAGTCTGCTATGTCTAATTGTCTCTTTGACTTCTTTTTGTACCCACCCAATTTTCTTTTTGATCACTCCACCTTTCACTACCTTCTTCCTCTATAGGTTCAATTCTCTCCTCCCCTCTCCTCTTTCATATCATGCCCAGGAACATCATTTGATACCACAGGTGCTATGTTAGTACTTTTTTGATGTGGTCTAGTTGATCTATTTTATATGTCTCTATACTCCTATGTTTGGGCTCTATGGGGGTGTGTGTGTGTGTGTATGTGTGCATTAATCTGTATTATTTCTTACCATCTGAAAATAATCAGAGAAACTTAATGAGATATTTCAGGGACTAATTTTTGAAACAGTTATAATAAATCTAAGCCAACTGAGCCATTGTAGCTGCTTCTGTTTATGAGGAACACTCTTGTACCTCTCCCTTTTTCTCATTTTTTCATTCATTATAATCTTACATTTTTCTTATCTCCTTAACAGCATATAAATTAGGCCTTAATGGAGAGAGATTGAAGGCTTCTTCTCTCAGAAGGAGAGAAGGGAAGAAGAGAGAGAAAGAACAGGAGGAGGAGATAAAGAGACTGGCTCTCCTTCTGGGAGTTTCTCCATGAGCCACACTTACTTTCTTTCCCTGTTCAAAGGGACTCGGGACCATTCCCCAACCCTGGGCAGAGTTAGTGGTTAGAAAATATCCAAGCAGAGAGAGTTATAATTATAAGTGATAATTCACAGAAAGTGTCAGAGCTACTCACAAGCCATATACTGGATTTTTCTCCACTCTGAAATGGAATGAAGAAGGAAGAGTCATCAAGGTGCTTAAAGCAGGGGTAGGAAGACATGCCTTGGTGTCTGGGGAAATGGGAACTTACTGAGTTCATCCTTCAGCTTCTCTGGAAAATAAGAAGAAAAAAAAATGTCATGAAGAGGGAATTCTCTGGACAATAAACCTTAAAACCAACTAGTAGCAGGATAGGGGTAGGGATGGGGGCTTGGGGCTCAGGCCTGTAACCTAGGGGCTTAGATCCCTCCCAGGGCCAGATACCTCTCGTGCTTTTTTCCTGCTCCGTTGTAATCTGTGCCAATTCACTCATCTTTTGCTCTCTTTCTTTCTCCTTGAACAGAGTCTTTTTTTCCTCTTGCTGTCTCCACAAGAAGTAACCTGTCCCTGTAAGAAGCAGCAGCACAACAGGCAGAGTCCCCGCCAGGGCAGCGATCCAGCGTTGGGCATTCCTGAAGAAGGGGTCTGCAAAGGGACAGTCTGTGGGCCATGGATCTGGCCCCTCTGCCTCCTGGATCCAGAACACCATGAAGTTTAACTGCTCACCCTGGAGCAGAGGCAGAAAATCTGTCTCATGAGCTTAAACAAACTTTTTCTTCTTTTCTAGGCTAAAACAACTTTGGATAAGATTTGATAAGCCCTTACTATAACCTACTACTGTCAATTTCTCTTGAGATGTCTGTCTCTGCCATGGAAAGTGAGTGACTTGAGCAGAATCATGCACATTTTTTTCTAATTTAATTTTTCAATAGATAATACATTTATATCATTCAAAAAATACATATAGTCTCTCTTCTATGCAGTCTTCCATTGTTACCTCCATTTACTAGCTTCTCATTAGTCAGCTTTATATAATGGTTAAGAACCCAGGGGGCCTGGGTTCAAATGCTGGCTTCTCCTCCACTTGACCAGCAGTGTGACCCTGGACTAATTATTTAACCTCTCTATTCCTAGTGCCTAATTTATAAAATGGGGGTAATGATAGTACTTTCTGAGAAAAAGGATTGATTAATTCTTACAAAGTGCCTGACATAGAAAGTGTTATGCAATTGCTTATTAAATGTAAATACTAGTATATTCTTATTTTGCCTCTTTTTTACGCTAAAGAATTTGTTAATGAATTCTTGCTCTGTGCAGAGTACATTTTGGAAATATTTTCATAGTAGTATAGAGACCATTATCTCTGTTTTTTCACAGCCATGTGGTCTTTCTTTATAGTGAAATTCTTCAACAGTGAACATTTGTATAGTTTCTAACCTTGTGCAACCATAATCAGTGCTGTAAGAAATAACCTTTTACATGGATCATCTCACACAAATGCAAGCATATTTGTCAGATACATCCCCAAATGTGAACTTTTGGATCAATAAACATGTGGTTCAAAATAGATATGTGATTTGAATAGATATTGCCCTGATACAGGTTGTGCCCATGTATACCAAGAATGTAAGAAATGATAGCAGCAAATGCCTGAGAGTTACTGCTTCCCTGCATCCTGCCATCTGAATATTTGGGTATATATTTCTTTAATACATGAGATTGAGCACAATTGTGCATGTTTATGTCCTTTTCTGTGAATGAATAATTTGTGTTCTTTGTTAATGTTTTTACTAGATTGTTTTAAATATCCTTATGTTTTAAGGAGACTGATTATTTATAATGTGAGTTATAAGTATGTTTTTTCTTATTTTGAAATTTGACTTCAGTTAAACATCTTATTTATTTTTCCCCAATTCCTATTAGCTGTCATGGTTTCTGGCAGACAGACAATGTTCAGTAAAAATTTCTGACATGGATAGCTTTATGGAGAAGACAAGTTCCCCTACAGTAAAGAGAAGGCTCTAAGTCTTTCCTCAGGCCTTATATTCACTTCAGAGAGTCACACTGCAGGTATGCACATATCCTCCTATACTTGGTAGCCACAACTCAGCTCGCTTGATAGCAAAAAGGGCACTGACCTGCGATGGAAATCCTAGCTGTCTTCTCCTGTTGGAGAAGGGAATTTCTGATGGTACAGGATGCCTCCTCCCCAGAACTTTCTCTCATGATCACAGATGCTGCCACTGCATACAGGCCCACTCTGTCTGCAACCACAGGTGCCACCACAGTTGGGATGATCTCCCCTTTGGCA